TTTAAAACTGTTTCAAACAACCCACACTTGCCCCCCCCCCCCCCTCTTTTTTCACCTTGTTGTCAAATGCACACGTTCGATCGAGCTCAAATTTATACTAGAGATAGAAGAGCGAAAACGAAAATCGATGTATTTTTGCGCAGAATTTTGTGATATGATCTTCTATGTGTTTTCTGGAAAACTCCGGTTTTCATTCAGTCATATTATGACCCTTCGAAAAAATGGTCTGATCGAGTCGAAATTTTTACTGCAGATACTTCGGACCCTATCTCAGGACGAAAAAGTTTTTATAGGAGCTACAAGCTCGTTTTCCAAACTGAGATCATATTTATTTCTTTAATTATAAAAAGTGATCTCAATTAAGAATGAGCGGAAAAGAATATCTAACAGAGATAACAGAAGAGATCTAGATATATCGACTAATCTCAATCTACATCAGTATTCTGCGCCGTATAATAGAGGGTTCAAAATGTTTCCAACGCGAAGAAGATTTATCAATTAATCATGGAATATCTACGTCAAACTACCTGCTCGTTTTTTTTGACGAAGTTTCTGTAGTTTGAATCAATTTGAAAATTTCAAATATAAAGTACCACTGGAGGACATCAACTAAAATATCCAAAGTAATGATATTTTCCACATGGAACTTATATCAGTTTTTAATAATATAGTGTTTTTTATAAACTTCAGTATATAGATGATTACATATAAGAAATTTTTTCTTTTGCGAGCTTTCGCTCTCTCCGAGAGCATCATCAGGCAATTTTTTTATTAAAATTTCGTTATTATTTATATCTACTATAGTAAAAAAATTGCCTGATGATGCTCTTGGAGAGAGCGAAAGCTCGCAAAAGAAAAAATTTCTTATATGTAATCATCTATATACTACTGACATATAGAACTTGTACTCTTCAGTAAATGATTTGTTTTTCGCCGATCTAACGGGATCTCAATTAAGAAGCCTCGGTTTTCTCATGTCTTTCTCTTTTCCTCATATATATCTTTTCTTTTGAATGATACACCACTGGTATTTTCATTTTTGTTTTTTGCAAAAAAGAAATGAAGATCGAAAGGCATCAGATAATTTACCAAGTTTTTTTGTTTTTAATTTGAGAAAATGATGGGATAAAAAGATTTCGTTTTGATATTAATCATTTTTAATAGATAAAATTTTCAATAGGAAAAGCATAACAAAAACAGTGATTTGAATCATTTTTATTATTAATTTTCAACATTTCGATTTATTTAAAAAGTCATTATCAGGAATATATAGAAACAAACAAATTTCTTTTTCAAACTGAATAAGATAAAACTTATGTATACTGTATAGTTCTTGTACTTCTTATTCTCTTTCGAGCTATTTTTCTTCTTAATCTTTCTTTTCGCAAAATAAATCAACATTCTGCGCTGATACAACACTTTCAAGATTAGCCAAGTGAAAACGTATCTGCAGATTTCGGTAACGTGTTTAGAAATTTGCAAATATTTCGAAAGCGCTGTAAATAATCTGCGTTATCTGTTGATTTTCCTTAACAATCTGCCGAGATTTCTCATAGATTTGGAAGAATTTTCTCTACAAACCTGCTCCAGTGGCGGATCCAGAATTATTTTTTGGTACGTGCGGTATATGATAAAAGTGCGAGATACGTGCGATCGTCATAGAAACAAATTATTCTAAGAGAGATCTGCTGAGAAAAAACAGTTTCTTTCGTTAAAAGGTACGAGCGGCCGCTCGTACCGCTCGCGGGCTGGATCCGCCACTGATCTGCTCTACATTCTACGGTGAATATGCAAGCTTCTGTTGCCGATCTAACTCACATTTTTATCGTAAAAAGTTCCCCTGGAACTGATAAGCAAAACTTACGCTTAGTTTGCAACTTTAAATATCACAGGTTGGCTAAAAAATAGTTAGGTTTTTAAAATTACATACGGTTTTGGAAAGTTCAATATTCTCCGTGAAGCACAAATGAAAAGATATTTCTATTAAACAATATCTTTTTCATTTGCATTTATCAGATCAACAATGATAGTCGAGTCTAAAAACCGAAACGTCTACGGTATATGCTTTAATAAGTACAAAATAACGCCAACACTTTGCCTAAAGGTAACTGATACATGAATTCAGTTAAAATTTTTAAAACGAAGAATGACTCAAAAAGAAGTATAAAAAACGGGAGCGAACGGATTGTTGAAAACACCGACAGACGGTTGATTTCCAACAAACGGATTATTCATAATAGGTGAATTCATCGTTGGAGTAAGGAATGTCGTTGAGTCCATTTGAAACGGTACCATATTGCTCATCGTTCCCATGTTAGATTCCAGCTGGAATTCAAATATTTGACCAAACGGTGGACCAGAAGCAAATGAAGGTTGTTGTTCAGGAACAAATGGAGAGTGCTGATTGGGAGCAAATGAAGGTTGTTGTTCAGGAACAAATGGAGAGCGCTGATTGGGAGCAAATGAAGGTTGTTGTTCAGGAACAAATGAAGGTTGTTGACCCGGAACAAATGGAGAGTGCTGATTGGGAGTAAATGAAGGTTGTGGACCAGGAACAAATGGAGAGTGCTGATTGGGAGCAAATGAAGGTTGTTGACCAGGAACAAATGGAGAGTGTTGATTGGGAACAAATGAAGATTGTTGACCAGGAACAAATGGAGTTTCACGTGAATGTCGTTGGAGGTGACGTTGTTGATCAGGAACAAATGGAGTTTCACGTGAATGTCGTTGGAGGTGACGTTGTTGATCAGGAACAAATGAAGTTTCACGTGCATGTCGTTGGAGGCGATATTGCTGACCAGGAACAAATGGAGTCTCACGTGAATGTCGTCGATGGCGATGTTGTTGATCAGGAACAAATGGAGTTTCACGTGAATGTCGTCGATGGCGATGTTGTTGATCAGGAACAAATGGAGTTTCACGTGAATGTCGTCGATGGCGATGTTGTCTCTCTCTTGAACGATGTGTACGTCGCCGATAGGAACTGCTGCTACTTCTACGAGAATGATGTTGATTGTCTCGTGCAGGACTTGGAGAAGTTTGTTTAACTTTGTGATTCCGATAATGATGAGGTACATTCTGTTCTTCTCTTAAATTTGAATAGCGAAATACGTCAGCTGACTGAATTCTTGGGGTTCTACCAAGCTTATACTTAAAATTTTCGCGATTAGTGTTTATTTCTTGTCCATCTTGCGCCTTGTAGACCATATCCCAATCTTGTTTATCATTTATTAATTCTCGAGCCATTCGGTGTTGTGACGCTGAATGGGATAATGATTGAATCCATGTCGCTTGACCTTGATGAATATTTAAACGAGTCATATTTGTTATCGATTTGATTGTCCATAGATCTTTTGTTAATTCCGTATCAGCAACATATTCATACGGTAAAAACCCATATCCACCAGCACCCCATTGTTCTCCGTGTGAATTTCGTATTATAAACACATTCTGTTCATCAATGTACCCAACACAAACAACAGCGTGACGATAAATGGACATTTTCTCATTTATTTTTGGCATCGGAACAAAACCATGATGATTGGCAGCGAAAGAATTGAAAATTTTTATTGCAATCACAAATGGATAACCTACAGAAAACATGTTCAACTTGTATACTGATGAAAAAGCTAAACATATGAGATACTTGTACCTTGAGCAAGACATTCTTTTAATTCAATAATGTCGTTTGACAGCCTTGAACACTCTTGTACAACATACGGTTTGGCACCTTGATATGCTTTGTCTAATGGTTTCACATTGACCCAACTATTTTCATATGGCCACAAACTTTCATCACAACACCCGAACTGAACAAGACTAGCAATACTAAACTGGATATCGGCACCTGAATCTGATTCTGTTGCATGACGAAGTGTGTCTTGAGTAGAACATTCATCTTCTAAACGTCGAGCATTATAATATATAAATAATCGGCTAAACGCTTTTCGTTGATGATGTGTTCTTACATAAAAATACTCGTAGATAGCTGCCAGTGCATTTCCAACGGATGAACCAGTTGTTCGGTTTTGTTCAATTTGATTTAACATTGGTCTCAAATCGACACCTGATGGTAGCTGATACTGACTTATATGTGAAAAGAAGGGGACCACACCCAATTTTGGTGGTTTGCATTTTGAACGACGACAACCATCCAGTCGATAATATTCTCTTGTACGACGATTGAACAATAAAGCGAACGCCATCGTTTAGTATCAAGAAAGTATTACCAGGTTGAATTCCTAGAAAATCCACGCAGTTTTTCAACGTCTACATGTTTATGTATACGTTCTAGTTTGACGACTGGTCACCTGTAACCTTTAATATGTATTAATTAGTATAGTTAGTAACCAGTTACCTGTATGAAACCTATCAGAACAATACGATCGTTTTGACTGAATGATTCATTAATTTTGTGATAAATAAAACGAGTGATAGTGATGAAGAGCTGAGGCCTACGTTTACTATTATCCTCTTTCCTTGTACGTGAAGTATAGAGCAATCTTGTGATGAAATTACTTATCTTTCTGAAGCTTGCTACTTGTCAATTCATACATACACCACGTAGGGAAGAGGACGCAAAATTCTTCTTCTCATGGAACACTGAAAATCGTGGTTTATAAAAGTGTCGCTAGTTTATAACGGATAGAGGGCACTGAATGGGCCAAGTTAAATATACTTATCTGTACAAAATGACAAGCTCTTCGTGTATTAGAAACTGAATGCTATTAGAAAGCGACTCGATATATTTATGTCGTGTACTTACTTATTGCTAGGCAACAAAACTATAGTACATTTACGATGGGGTGGTGAATTTTGTTTAAAATTAGATATATACTTGACATTTATTCATGCGCTTGCCCATTTTGAAGTAAAAGCAAAATGATATTCAGGAGTACATTCGGAAGCCATTGTTTTTTCTCCTTATCTGAAGTAAAAGACAAGATTTCGGGAAACTTTAAACTCAAAAACCACTCATCCTTCAGCTTGAAGCATGCCTTCCATGACTAACATAAGAAAAGCTAGGTACTTCTGTTATTTGAAGAATTCTATATTATTTTTTTTTGTTATTGTAGATGGCTGATAGTGAAGCTAAGCCCGATGTCAATGGTAAGATCGCATGCGATAAACAAATATCTAATTCTGAAGAACCAAACAATGAAGTATATCGATGCGGTCAAGCTATATTACGTGCAAAAACTTCACTGATAAAACCATACTCTAAATACACGGAAGAAGGCTATCGCCCACGCACACCAAATGATCCTTATACCGTGTTGACTAATGAACAAGTGTCCAACATTCAGAAAGATGCAAGTTCATTATTTTTCGGCAAACAGCATATAACAACCGCTACGGGCGCATTTCGTCAGTATCGCCAACGCCATGGTGACACGTTTAGTGAACATTTTGTACGAGGTTCAACACAACATAACCCCTATGTCTTCTTGACAGCTGAGCCACATTCATCACAATTAAACAAAGATTATAACGGAAGCACATACGATACTTATCCAAAATGGTATCCGAATAAAGCGGGTATGAAATGAAGATATTTTACTTCTTCTCTTTAAGACAATCGTTTTTTGTAATAGGTGAACGCACAACAGCTCATTTCAATGGTGAACCTGTTGAGAAATTCGTTCAAATTGATATGTATAGAAGACCGCCAAATGCGAGACCAGGAAAAATACTATTTGATTATGGGCGACCAAATGATGGTTATTATCTGCAGAGAAATTGCTGTATGTTTCATTTCAAAATAAAAAATATCCTTCAACATGTGCATGATCATATTCGTTTTGTTTATATTTTAGATGATTCAACGTGGTACAATTCTACTGTGCCATTAGACCGTCGACGTATCCTTGACGATATTCAACCCAAAACAAAGAAAGATTATGCAGATTTACATAATTCTCAGAGAGAACGATATCAAACGGCAAAAAGTACATGGCCACATTTATCCGAATATGGAGATCAATTCGTCCTAAAAACCAAAGTTCAACAAATGTCAAAAACAGAGTAAATAAATACAAAGCTCATCGAGCTACGTTAATTCATTCATATATACAAAAATTTCGATCTATATTTAGATTACAACGAGCTAAAGAACATATTGGTCAAAATCCTCTTTGGGGCTCGTCGTACCATAATAAATTATCTGCAGATGCCGTTAGTTCGGGGAAGACATTAGTCAATGAACCACCACTTGTAGTCAAGTGTTAAACAGATCAAATTTGATTCAATTAGGGTGATCTCATACTAATCTTGTCCTGAAAAAACTACATACATTATTGTTTTTGTTTGA